TGTGCCACCACATCTGACTTTCTTTTTGAGAAAAGGACTTGCTTGCTATGTAGCCCATGCTGCCCTTAAACTCACTACGTAGTCCAAGCTGACCCCAGGTACAGGATTGCCGATGTGTGCCACTATGCTTGGCTCCAAAGTGCTCGTACTACTGCCCCTTATTGGCGTCCCATAAGTCCCTTACCCTTTCTTCTTTCTTTTTCATTCATCTTTCTTTTTTCCTCCCCTGACTGGATAATTTCAACTGGTCTGTCTTCAGATTTGCTGATTCTTTTTTTCTGCCTGATCAAGTCCACTGAACTTCTCTAGTGAATTTTTTGATGTAGTTATTGTATTTTTCAGTTCCAAGATTTCTGTTTGGTTTATTTCTGGCATTTTCTCTTTGTTGATATGGACTAAATATTAGATAATATTTTTTATTAAGTATGATAAAACAGTTTTGGTTAGGTCAAAAATTCTATTATGTAGACACACTGAAGTATTTATTGTTGTGATATTTGCAAATCGTGTATCTGACAAGGAACTCATATCTGGAATATACAGACATCACTTACAATTTATTATCAAGGAAATAACCTAACTTTAAATGGAAGAGGATATGAATAGACATTTCTCCAAAGAAGATATAGAAGTGGCCAGTACGCTCATGGAAATGTGCCCAACCGCAGTCCTTAGAGAAATGCAAACAAAAAGCACGAGATTCTACTTCACGCGCTCTTGGGTGGCTGTGATTTTAAAAGGCAGGTAATAAATGTTGGCAAAATGTGGAGAAACTGGATCTGTCCACATTCCTGCTGGGAATATAAAGTGGCGCAGGCACTTTGGAAAGATCCTTGGCTTTCCTCTAAAGGTAGATTTACTGTATGAGCCAGAAATTTCACTGCTAGACCAGAACCCGAGAGAAATGAAAACACATGTCCCGGCAAAAGCGTGCATGCAGTTGTTTAGAGAAGCACTGTTCACGATAGCCAAGAGGTGGGAGCCACCTGAACGCCGTGAAGCAGTGACTGATAATGCAGTGTGGCTTCCGTCCGTGGGGAATGCTCACTCAGAGGAGCACTTCTCAGACAGAGAGCAGGACAGGCACGGCTGCCGGTGGCTTTTGGGTTTTTTTTTTCTGGTTATGGAAATACTTTCAATTTAGATCATGGTGATGGTTGCACTAAAAACCATGGACCATGCACGTTAAATGGGAGGGTTTTATGTAATGTGTATCTCAAAAAAAAAAAAAAAAAAAAAAGTCAATTGAAAAAGCTGAACCCTGGGGCAAGCTTTTGGTCAGAGTTTCCCAGGACAGCTTTCTGTTCCCATCAGCTGAGCAACCTTCCTGTCTCCTCCCAGGGAGAAGGGCAGGCTGGCCTCCAATGCCCTTACCTGGAGTGGGACCCGGGGGTTATTCCCTGGTGGGTGGGGTCTGTCTCACTCCCCACACTGAGGCTCCTCACCTGTGCCTTCCATCCTTTTCACCCTGATGGCATCCACACGGACACTCAGATTCAGAGGGACCGGAGGAAGCAGCCGCCTCGGTGTTGCTGCCATGTGCTCTGTCATAGCTTGTGACCCACTCTCGCCCCAGCATCTTGAGCCTTCAAGAAGATATTTTTAATACACTTTCTACAGCGTTGGAGTTGGTTCCAGCTGATGAGCTGCTTCTAACAGGCTATCCCGTCTTATTCTCAGAAAACAACAGCGACTTTACATCCTTAATAGCTTAGTTCACAGCTCCCTCCCTCTTTGGCTCCCCCCTGCCCGCTAGAGCAGGCACACCTTCCCTCTCCCTCCTTTCTTCAGGCCTCTTTCCAAATTCTGCCCCTGAGCGAGGCTTTGTTTGGACGCATTGAAGAAGCCACATGCCCTCCTCATTACTGTCACCCGCACCGTGCGTTGCCGTCTCCAAAACCCACTGCTGTGAGATATTTTGCTTTTTGATCATTGATGAATTCAGTGTCGGCCTCTCCCTGCCAGGAACCCAAGTTCCTAAGAGCAGGGATTTCTACTCCGACTGACTCCGCATTTAAAGCGTACCTAGCAAAAGAATAAATGAATGACAAACCATCTTGGAACACATGCCATATATTTTAGATCAAATATCTGTTGCTGGAGAATCTGTCTCCTGCCAGAATGTGAGTGGGCTTTCGGCCTATCATCACGAGTGAAAGCTCTGTTCTGAAATCTGTGCGGGTGTTGCTATTTTTACTCTGAGGAGAAAGGCGGTGTGCCCCTCTTGCCATGAGTGTCACGCTGACAGTCAGCAATGTTCCCTGGGGAGGTTCCTGTTGCTTGCACAGGGCTCTGTTCCTATTCCCGGTTCACGCTGCTGTTTCAGGAACAGTGTTTCCCATGAGCACCCCGCTCCACAGCAGGTAGAACAGCTCTGTGGCAGTGTCACTGAGGAGGAGCTGTGATGGCGATTGTGGCCCTGATGGGCTTGGGTGGGTCATTGCCACTGCAGAAGTCTCCCTGACAGGACAGCCGGGGCAGTGACGGAGACACTGAGTGCGGTGGGGCAGGCTGATGAGCAACCCCGGTAGCTGGACACCCCCTTGGGTCACCCCTGTTAGAGGCTCTGAGCCTGGACATGCTCAGGCCTCTGGCCCGGGAACACAGTCCCTGTGAGCAGGGGGTGAACTGCGCTGTACTTCCGCTTCCGCTGTCTGGAAGGCCTCTGCCGTGGCGAGCATGGACGAGTCTGCTGGACAGAGGTGTGAGCCACATGGAGCACAGCCCAGGGCTCCCAGCCAGTGCTGTTCCAGGGCAGCCAGGTCCCTGAACCTGTTGGGGACCTGGATGAGTGAGCACGCCCGGCCAGGGCCACCAAACCCAGCACAGGTCACCCCGTGGAGCAGTGGGGAGGGCTAGTCGGAGGGTGTGTTTTGGGCCACCGAGGATTACTTGTAGTGCTGTGGTGAAGACCAGCCAAGCCCGGTGTGTGGCACACACCTGTAATCCCAGCACTCCAGCAGGCCGAGGCAGGCGCATCACAAATTCAAACCTAGCCAGGGCAACTTAGTGATTCAGCAAGATGCCATCTCAAAATAAAAAATGGTCTGGGACTGTAGCTCAGTGCACCGGTCCTGAGGGGGCTTATAGGCTGGTGATGCGGGAGGTGATATGGTCAAAATATATTATAAACACTGCATGTCCACCCCCCGGCCTCCCGGCAGACCAATGGATGGAGCAAGCAGAAAACAGTCTTTACAATCTGCTCGGCCAAGTATTTCTGCCTCTCAGATAAAAATCCAAGCTCCAGGTGTGGGTGCAGGGTGGGGAGATCTCTGGAAGGAGCAATTCCTGGTCACTGAGTGCTGGGTGCTTTCCCCGGTGGTCAGCACCTGACTATAGATTGTAAGCTATCATTTGTCTACGGATGATAGAAGGCCTCTGCTCGGTGATTAGCGTCCGTCCCAGTGTTCTCCTCAGCAAGGTGAGCTCTATCAGCGTTCAGTAACAAGGGCTCTTGTGGGGAGAGTGCTGCAGGCTCAAGGCCGCGTCCTCGGTCCCCTGCTTGGCTTCCTGCCTCAGTACACAATGCAGGGCAGAGGGGCTTGTCTGCAAAGAGGTGGCCTGGGTGTGACTCCACGGTGGAGCTCCGGTCCTGTCTCTTCCCCCGCCACCATGCCTGTCCTTCCTGGGGTGGGGAGTCAGTTGGGGCTCCACCTCCTCAAGTGTCCCCGCTCCTGTCACTGTCCTGTCCACCTGCACCTCGTCAAGGACCTCCCACAGAGCGGCCTTCTTGCCTTATGGCCAAGATGGTTTAGAAGAAACCGTAACAACGAAAACCACAGCAGTTCAGGCCCCAGGTGCAGCTCAGTGGTAGAGCGCTTGCCTAGCATGTGTGGGGCCCTGGATTCCATCCCCAGCATTTGAAAAATGTAAAAAAAAAATTGCAACAACTGCAGACCCCCGCCCCCAACTCCCCGCTATTGCCCTGAACACTGAGGTCCAGTGGTACAGGGGACGCTGAAATTGCTTTCTTTGATAAACCTGGGCATTCGAGGACAGCACCCCCGTGGTGACCTCTGCCAGCTCTTACCTAATCGATTTACCCCAAACACGCAAACAAAACGCGCTGTTCCCAGACTCATAAATCTGTTGTTGCTTTTGTTCTGAGTCAGGCCGCAGACTGTCTGCTTCCCTGTGTGGGAACAAACGACGTTCAGAGGCAGGCGCTGACCACCGGGAAAGCACCCAGCACTCGGTGACCAGGAATTGCTCCTTCCAGAGAGCCAGGAACAGAGAGTCCGGTGAACGGAGACGTAAAGGACTTGCACATCTAATTACTTCTTTAACCAGAAAGCGGAACAATTCCTAATGAATCTTCAGGCGTACAGTACTTGTGCTTCTTTAAAATTTCTCAGCATTTAGGGAAATCAAATTGATTTCATAGGTAAATCTAATTCATTTCATATGAGAATGCGAGTTCATTTCATATGTAATACGAGATCAATAAAATATTCTCTGTTCTTTTCATTTATGCCAGAGATCATGTTAAGCATGCATCTTTAAATTCCTTTTAAATGTCATAATCAGTTACATAAAAATGAATCTGGTGTAACAATGATTTGTTCTTGATCCAACATTTTTAAGATTTTGCTTCACAGAGAGAAATAAAAGGTGACTTTAAGCAGAACATCTGGGTTTACTGTGGAAGTTTTTGCATTTGAAATTCTACCCCTTTTCAGGATGTCAGGGTGGTGAATCGAGGTGATTAATGTACCAGTGAATGAGAACAACGGGGGTATTAGATTGAATCTTTTCTGCTCCTCACTGCCTGAGGAGATCTTTCTACCAATTTTCTTTCAATTGGGTCATTATCCGGGAAAGAAAAATATTTCCACTGGTACTTTACCATTTGTACTAGTTTGTGTTCCTCAAATTTTATCTTTCTCTGGAGATCTAACCATTTTTATTCCCAACAAGATTTCTCAAACTTCTCCTCAGTTAGATCCCAAAATAGAAACACTTGGAAAGGTCCAGAATAAAGGCAACAGAGGCAAAGATTATTCTCCAAATCAGCTTATAGTTTGATACAGACCAACTCCTTGAAATACATATGAACATAAAATGCTACTTCTAATATATACATAGAACCTTTTTTTCCATAGCATTACAAAAGCTTTAGGATTTAACATACTTTTAAGAAGGTAAGTGTAGCTGTTTCCCCACATCTTGTTCGTTTAAACTATCTTTCCTCTTAGCACTGCTTTCTCAGAGCTTTAGGGTATGTCGGAAATGTGGATCACAAATCTGCGCCCATCTTTTAGGCTTACGAGGGCTTCTTCTCCCATGGGAAGGCTGAGTCTCATGGCGCTTTTGGTGGCCTTGTCCTCCAGCAAGACTTGGATGCGCTGCAAGGGAGAAAGGTTTAAAAGGAAAAGATGAGAGAAAGCTCAAGGAACTGCCGTTTGAACTCATCTACTATGTCCTCGTCCCCGTCTGGGGACATAATACGATGTGTGTGCCTGCGTCCCTGCTAGGGGAGCTCCTCGTTTCTCAGCGAATGCTCTAGGTCTGGAGAGGATACCGTGGGGGCACTGAAATCCTGAGGTGGGACAGGAAAGGTGGGAAGGGGAGAGGGTGGGCTCCTTGCAAGGAAAGGAACCGGAGTGGGCAGCTTACTGACAGACACGGAGAGCCCGGAGCAGCTGTGCGCATCTGGAGAATGCTGGGGAGGTGTCTGCAGAGCTTGTGTGGCTGAGGTACCCATCACTGTGGCCGCCTCCCCATTTGGACACCAAGTCCCGCTTTCTCATGGGTCCCCGGAGCTGACATGGGCCAGTCCCATCCCTGCCTAGGCTTTCCTGCTCCATCGTCCGGCAGAAGCTGCAGCAGTCACGGATGCCTGCTGGAGTGACGCTGGCTTAGGCAGAAACAGATCCAAGAGGTCCACAGTTTCTGATTTGGCGTCCTGCCACCTCTGCCTTAACCAGCCCAAGGAACAGGGACCATCCACGCGCCTTCCTCGGCTCTGGGAGGACTGAGAGGACTTGCAAATCCTCGCAGACGGGTACTTTAAAACCAACAGAAGTGTATTTTCTTGGTCTGATTTCGTCAGTAAATCCTCCATAGGCTGATATATTTCGGCACAGATTTGTACAACCCAACACTGTTGTCAGGATTCACCGAAGCATGTTTTTCTTTCTCCAGATTCAGCAATCACATCGCCATTCAGTGAAGAGAGATTTTTCTTTCTTCAGAAAATTATCTGCACATTTACCCCAGGGCTGGAGAGTTGCCTCTTCTGTCTGTCTGTCTGTCTGTCTCTTTTTCTTTCTCTCTTTTGTCTCTCTTTCCCCCTTCTTAATATATTTTTTCTGATTTAATCTCAAGTACCTGACCTAATGTGAAAAGCATGTAGTTTGTTCTTTTAAAGGAATGTTCCATATTTAACATCATTAATTTCTTTTTGACACTATCCTTAAGCACACCTCGGCGTCCTCCTGTTTTGAACATCGCTAGAGTGACGGATGTGGCGCTGTGGAACTTCAGTTGTGATCTAGGTGTGGGACAGTGCTAATTGCTCGGAGGAGGAGCTGTCGCAGATGTGCAGGGCTTGGGGATGGGACCCGGTGGGAGTGCTTTTTACTGATGCTGAGGGCAAATGCTGAGTAAGGCAGGCAATGAAAATTTGGGGAGCAGAACTTTGGGGTGGTAGCGTAAGTCATTATAGCTAATTCAGCAGGCATGAAGGAACAGAGGGGATTTAATTAATCTCTAATGCATATTACCTTGGCTTATCTGTCATTCATCTGCTTGTATTGCTTTATTATGTAGTTCAATTAAGTATTTAATTATTTCTCTGTTGTTTCCACCAATTAAGTGTAGGTCAAACCTCACTGTAATGAACTTCAGAGGAGCTGAGGGCTGGGTGGAGGGTGATAAGGGAAGGTGAGTTCCTCGGAGAAATAATAATTATGATGAGTGGCTGTCAGATACTTACTATGTTCTAAGGAATTTTCTAAGCATTTTATGATGAATAGCTTATTTGAGCTCACACTGGTCCTATGAAATTCCTTATTATCCCCTTAAATTAAGCAACTTCTCACGGTTCTCAGCCCATAGATGGAAGTGGTGGAATCTGACCCCAGGAATTTATGTGTGAGAATTGCCCGCTTATCCAACTCCAAGTCAGTGGTTCTGGGATTAAGCCCTTGGCAGAGTACTCTCTGGGGAGAGAGGATGCTGGGAAGGAGATCTGTGGGAGTCTGGATTTGCGCTCTCCCATTATTAGTGAGGGGACCTTGGGAAAAGTATTCAACCCCTCCATGAGCCTCAGTGATACCATCTGCAAAATGGGGCTGAGGATCACCCCCACCTCACAGGGAAGCTACACTGCATAGGAAGCCTGGCCCATGCAGACTTGGAGCCTGTCCTCTATACCTGCCTGGCTGCAGCTGTGTGGGTAAAGGTCGACTCTGGGTCACCTCGCTAACTGAGGAGCATGTAAAATTGACCAAGACTCTCCAGTTGGCCAAACTTGGCAGGCTGCAGAATCTTCCCCAGGCCCATCAGGGCACTTCTGTAAAATCCAGCCTCAGCAAGGAGCCCTGCTGAGCCAGGTGAGCAAGATCCTCCCACCCTTGATAGCTGATTGTGAGGTTCCTCGTCCTCCCCGCCCCAGGGTATCGGTCACCCTGCCTGGTCCTCCTGAGACTCCTGTTAGGTCAGCTTAGCCAGAACCTCCCAGCCCCTGCTCTTTACCCTCAGGGGTTTCCTACCTTCTGGCCTCGCCTTGACCCTTCACTCTGCCTTCCAACCTCCCAGCTGTGCTTGGACCTGGGCCCGGTCTCTTCTCCTCAAGAGTGCATTGCTGTGGCTCCTAACCTACCACGCCGGTCCTGACTGAAATCTCCTGTGCTTTAGCAAGTGCCACTGGTTAATTTTCCTCTGGCAGGTTACGATGCTGTGGCTGTCCTCTTGCCCCGTCAGGGAGCAGAGAGAGCTGCTCCTGGGAGCTGACCCCTGTGGCCCAGCACCGGTGCTGGCCCTGTCTGGCTCAGATGAGAGCTCCGGAGTTGGCTCAGTTGGGCTCACGGCCAGCCAGCACACGACGGGCCCTGCCACCAGGCTGAGGCACGTTCTCCAGAGGCGCAGGGAGCATGGCCGCGCAGTCCTTCTCCAGATGGAGCTGGAACTCCTCCCACAGATCGAAACACCGGCTCCCCACATGACGCCTTAACTCCTACCTGGACCTCAAGCCTCCGACTTGGGGCCAGGATGTGGCCGTTTCATATCTCCTGACTGCATCTGCCTCACTCTCTCCTGGAGGAGGTGGAAGCTCGTTCACAGATGGGCAGGGCCTCTCCCCGGCAGGGCTGTCCTTGGCAGAGCCACATCCTGTCTCTTCCTCACAGCTGCTGCCCGCTCTTCCGCCTGGCCTTCTAAACTCCACAGAGAAGCCCCGCCTCAGTGGTCAGGGAGCCAACTGTCTCATCTTCAGTTCTGTCCATCCACTAACCCAAAACCTGTGCATTTCTGGGAGAGTTAAGTTGCACACAAGTGGGGTATCTGTCTCAAAGGAACCAGAGGGGCAAGCCTCAGCCCAGCGCTGCCCAGTGCCGGGCTCTGAAAAGAAGACAGGAGCCCTGTACCTGGGTGAGGAAGACCTGGCTCAGCGGGCAGCCTGTGTGCCCGCCGTGTGCCCGCCTCCTCTTTCCTGCCCTGTAAAAGCCCTTGAACCGCGCGGTTCAGAATGGAGCCTCCAAGATGCCGTCCCTTGAATAAACCTCATTTCTTCTGACCAGCTGTCACTTCTCAAATGTTGCCTTTGAGCGGTGAGCAGCTGGCCTTATTCCAGTGACCACCTCTGGATCTATTGCGCAAAGGGCACTGAATGCAGCCGGGCAGATGAGTTTACTCTCCCCAGGTGAAAAGTCAGAGACCAAACACAGACAGGCAGAGGGAATGTGCAGACCCGAGAGGTGTGTTTCCTGCGCTCTGCCCTTAGTGTCTGCCTTGAGCACTTTCCTGCTAGAGCAGCTCTCAGTAACAGCTCGCACTCTGGGAAGCCCAGCAGCACGTTTGCTTAGGAAGGAAAGGACCCTGGGAGGAGCTGATTGCTTTGGAGAGGATAGGGTGTGAACAGTTTTGAGTTGTGACGTAGTCTCCTGGCCCTGGCTTCCTCTCACCTGTATGGGGGGAAACACTTGCTTGTAACGGGCTCTGGCTAAGTGCAACTCCTCTGTTCACCAGGAACTTGTGGGCATAGAGGGCAGGCTGTGAATAGTGGCTGAACAGCGAGTGTGTATGAAAGTGTGAGAAATTAGAACTAAGACAACTGCTGGCACCTTTGATGTTGCTGTTGTTTGAGACAGGGTCTCCTCTATGTAGTCCAGACTAGGCTTGAACTCACAGCCATCCTCCTGCCTGAGCCTCCCGAATGCTGGGAGTAAGGTGTGCGCCACAGCACCGTTTTAAAAAATCCAACCCTTCCCCGCTCCCAGTGGAGGAGTTTCATGTGCTTCCTGCGTCAGCCTGGCTCTTCCCGCTGACACCCGAGTGCTTATCTTTGCTCTCCGCCACCTCTTCCTACTGTTCCTGGGCATGGGCCGCGCTCCTCTGACCCGTCGTGCGGTGAGAGTGGACTCGAGAGCAGGTAGAGCAGGGCTCTGAGCTCGGGTCCGCTTCCTCCTTGTGTTTCCCGGCTGCACGGACCCCTGCGCTTCTCTGAGTCCCCCTGTCCTCAGCCAACCCTCGGCAGTGACAGAACAGACTTCCTACGGGATCGGACACCTCCACGATGGGGCGATGGGGGTGTGGAGCGGGTGCTGGATAAATAGCAATTCTCCTGTCTTTTAAGATGTGCCCCAATTCAACAGTTTCAAAACGCTTTCTAGCCAGTGCTTCCTTTCTCTAGACGCCAGCAGCACCTTTAGCTTGTAACTCAGGTTAGCGGTTAGCACTACTCTAGGGCTCCGTGAATCCCGCCGTGGCAGGCGAAGTCTGGGGAGGCAAGACCTGGCGCCCCGATTCCAGATTCCTAACCGTGTCCCTGTCGCTGCGCTATGCCCTGAGCTGGCCCAGGACTGGCAGGTGAGCTATCGTAACCTCCCCCTGGCAAAACGAGTGCAGTGAAGAGGGCTTTAGGATCTGTATCTGAGCGGGAGCCTGGGATTTTATAGGTTTCCTAACACTCTGTGGATTTTATCTCCCTGGAGACGGCCCTGTGGGGTGGTGTGTGTGTGTGTGTCCTGGTGCCTACCTTATTGCCCGTGGCAGTGTCCACCAGGAATCCCAGGACCCAGAGGACCACGCTGCTCACACCCACGGGACCGAGGCTGTGGCTCCTGCTTCCCAGTGTCACCCTCGCTGGGCTGGCGCTCGGGCCCAGTGAAGGATCTAGAGGGTAGGCGAGTGCCTGGACTGGCTGGGCGAGACGCTGATCATCTGGCCACGCCTCTTTGAGATTCCCCACGTCCTCCTCTTCCTCTTCCTCCTCCAGGCACGACTGAAATACGTGACTCACATATTCCAAAAGCAGCAAATGGAACAGATGCCAGGAGCCTGCGCGGAAACAGCAAGCAGGAATGAGTATGTGTGATGGGTGGCAGACAGACAGACAATAAAGAAACCCCTGCGACAGCGGCCGCTTTGCTGAGGCTGAGCCTCACCCCTGCAGCTGACTTGGGAGTGGGTGGGGAGAGCTAAGGTGAGGGGCCCACCGCTCCTGCAGAGTGCACAGCAGGGGCTGTCTCCGCCACAGAAGAGGACGGAGAGCCCGTCTAGTGTGAGATGGGCGGAAGTAGATCCTACAGGCCCCGGCTACTGTCTCCAGAGCCGGCTGTGCCTCTTGCCCTCCAGAAAGAAGATGATCCTTCCTGTTTGCCTGAGAAACCAGGCAGAGCTCTGGGCTACTGCAGTGACTCAAAGATGATTTCCTAATGCAGGTGAAACTGTGGCTCTTACACAATGTTCTGTCAGTGAAGGAGGGCAGCAGAAGATGCTGCAGTTAGCTCGAAGGAGAATTCACAGCATCAGAGGCGTGAGGCTGTGAAGAACGGTGACATTAATGTACACACAGATACAAGTAGTTCTGTCCTCGGGCGGTCACCAGTGGCATCCGCTGGTCACGTGCAGCTTGCTCTTCTGCGACCGAGATTCATTTGCGTGCTTTTCTTAAAACATCACCAAGAGTATAATTCAAAAGCAGAGGTGGGCTTCCTACATGTCAACTATGATGGAGCAGGGTGGGGTTAAATGTACTATCATCTTGTCATTAACAATAAGACGGAGCCAGGGATATAGCTCAGGGGCACAGCACCTGCCTGGCAAGTGCAAGGTCATGAGTTCAATTCCCAGTATGCCCCCCAAGAAAGATGACTTTTCCATGATTTTCTGCATTTATGTTGCATGCTGCATGGAAAGATCAATAGAGGATAATGGGTCCCTCTTTCCTCCCTCCTCCTTTCTTCCCTCCTTCTTTTTTCTTTTGTTTTCTTTTCCTCTCCTCTCCTCTTCTTTCTTCTTTCTTTCTTTCTTTCTTTCTTTCTTTCTTTCTTTCTTTCTTTCTTTCTTTCTTTCTATCTTTCTTTTCTTCTTCTTCTTCTTCTTCTTCTTCTTCTTCTTCTTCTTCTTCTTCTTCTTCTTTCTTCTTCTTCTTCTTCTTCTTCTTCTTCTTCTTC